CGAAAGTTTTAAATTTTGATAAAGTCCGGTTTATCTATTTTTCTTGTTGCTTCTGCCTTTGGTGTCATAGTTAATAAAGTTCTCAGAAGACTGACACCTGCGATTTCCTCTGATGTTTAGAAGAGGCGCCTACCAGGCATTTGTTCCCTAAGCACGTCTCCCTCTTCTTCCTCCCTTTCTCATTCCTGTCTTCCCACGTCTCTTAATCTCTGGTTTAGGGAATCTGGGGATGAGCTGTGGCAGCCAGGCTGCTGAGGGCACTAACCCTCCCTAGCAAGTGGGTCCCAACTGTGCCAGGGCCAGTGTCTGCAAGGATGGTGCTTTGAAGTAGGGTTGGGGGAGGAAATGAAGCCTGGCCTCCAGAAATATTAGCTCAGAAGGACAGCTGGCTTTGGACTCTTGGCCGTTGTGCCACAGTCAGGAGCCAGAAGAGGGAGCTAAAGGCTAAGCGCTGCAGAGCGGCCCCTGCAGCTGCAGCCGGTGCTCACCTGATGGACACCACAAGGGACAGCACCTCCAGCAGTAGGTTTGCGCCAAAGACAGCCAGGGCGGCAGGCGGGGGAGGCATGGCAGTGGCCCCATACTTCAGGAAGCAAGTGATGGAGAGAATCAGGAATACCGTTGTGGACAGACATACATCTAGGAGGGAGCTGAAGGTGGCACTGGCGAATGTCTTCACAGGAGAATTCTTTATGACCTGTTTGGAGCGGGAGGGACTTGGGATGAACTGACTTCACTACAGGTGGCAAAATTAGCAATGACTTCCCAGGGCCTGCCTACTGCAGACCAGCCAGTAGGTGAGCCATCACCTTGCTGTTGATTGCCCTGTGTAATGATGAGAAAACTAAGGCACAGAGAGGTTAAGAAACTTGTCCAGGGTCACACAGAAATCAATTACAAAACAGTATGTTCATGTAGACACATTACATTTTGAGCCTGAAAGGTGAGTTACTGCCTGGCAGAGTCAGTGAGTTCATATCTGTATAGGCAAGCGAGTGGCAGCAAATGCTGCAACTGTCCCTGGAACAGCTGGGTCCAAGGTTAGGGGATGTGAATGCTGGCTTCACCACTTGGCAGCAGCAGAGAAGAGCTCCCATAGGCAGAATGAGAGCACACAGCTGTCAGCAAGAGAGACTTCATCTGAGCCTGCCTGGCCTGTGTGCTGGGTGCAGGGGTGGATGTAAACCAGCCCCCATGGGGGAGCTTGCAGCTTGAATGTGGGAAGGGACAGCAACAGGACATGCAGGAGGGCATGTGAAGTACAATGAAAAGCCATGCACGTGCTGTTAGGGAATTAAGGGACTTCTTTCGGTTTTGGTGGTTCTGGGGTTTGAACTCAGGGCCTTGCACTTGCTAGGCAGGTGCTCTGCCACTTGAGCCACTCCATCAGCCTGTTAGGGAATCAAGGGGGGAGGAAATAGCTAAGACATGTACATATCTGAGAGATGACTAATTCCAGCTCTGTGTGGGCCCTTCAGAGCCATGATCTCAGCTAACGAACTCAGTCAATGCTCACAACAACCCAAGGAGGAGGAAATGCTACTCTGCCGATGTTGGTGTGCAGGCCAAGGAGAGGTGGCAACCCCAAGGTCACAGAGCAGATGATGAGCTGATTCCTGTGTGTGCCTGGACCCTTCCTGGGGGCCACATACCCGGATCCATGGTGAGAAAAAAGAGGGGAAAACCACTGAGGTTGCCTTCCACTCAGCCTTGCAATCTCTGGCAACCCAAGCAGAGCTTGGAGCAGGGTGGGACTGGAGGTGTGTGGGAAGGAGAGGCCTGTACCTTGTCCTGGGTCTGGTGTGTGCTCCTTTCAGACAAACTGGTTTTGGTGCCCCTATCCCAGCCAGGCCCCATGAGCTGGATGAGATGAGAGAAGGGGGAGCTCAGACATGGGGCTGAGGTCACTAATCAGCCCTGATGTTGTCCTGGACCTGCCCAAGCAACCTGGGGGCAGGACTGGGTTCTGAATCCCATCCAAGGAACTCAGAGGCTCTGATACTGTCCTTGTGCCTGGTCCTAACTTCTGAAGGTCTGGCAGAAAGCCTGGGAATCTGGTAAGGCTGCCCACATTGACTCCCCTGCATAGACACATATACGTCGTTGATCTCTTTGGGGCTCCATCTACCACTGTGGGATTGCAGCCAGGGCTCAGCCAGGAGGCACAGGGCCTGCTGTGAGGCCCCATCAGGGCAGCAAGTGAGGGGACGTTCATTCACACTGAACACCAAGGTTTCTTGACTTTCCCAATTCCTGGCCCGGAGGGCAAAGGCCCCACATGCCTTGCTTTAGGGATTCTGAGAAATGCTGCAGGGATTACTGTTGAAAGAGGTGATGTCAAAGGTCTAACATGTATGACTAGAGAAGACCCTTGTATGGCTGGTCTCCTCTTACACAGGAGTTTCTGGTGCCAACAAACCCCTTCTTAGACTCTGGACTCAGGCCCCCTTCCATCTCCTTTATAGTCTCTCTTGCTGTGCTGCTTTGGGTCAGGCATCCCGGACTCACCTCCTTGGCTTGGCCTCTCCCTTCTGCCCATTTTCCCTTTGGGTTCATTCATAAACCTGATACAAAGGATCCCTGGGCCCACTCCATCCCTGTGACTCCATTGCTGTCCATGTCAGGCCCTGACCTGGGACAGTGCCATCCAAACTGGATGTGGGTGGCTGGCCTGCAGTATCTTACTGCCCACATTTAGTTAGGCTCCAAGTCATCAGAGCATGGCCCTGCAGTCTGGCTGCCTGGGCTCAGAGCCCAGCCCTACTACTACTTACTGATGTCTTGTGCCTGTTACCCAGTCTGCCTGTGCCTCAGTGTCCTTGCTGAGAGCAGGGATAAAATCAGTGCTGCACCTTATGAGTGGCAATGCTTACACAAGAAACACCATGCAGAGCACTGAGAATAGTGAGGGCCTAATGTGCAGCTAGCTTGGAAGCTCCTTGCTCCTGTCTCTCTTCCCCTCACCCCCTGGCCCTGCTTTGGATCTGTCCTGCACTCAGTAACATCTTCCCACCTATCTTGTCCATTCTCTGTCCCCTTCTACAACTCAGTTCCATGTTCTGTATAAAACACAGTCTGATGGAGACATTTCCTGCTCCTTTCTGGCCTTTGGCCTTTTACCACGCCCACCCCATCACCCCTCAGAAGCATCTGCAACTTGCTGGACCTGACTGTTCTGTGTCTCTAAGGTTTACTGGGCTGCCTCCTCTCTGGAATGCTCCCTCCTTCCCTCATTTGGTTAGTTCCTGGTCTTCCCACTGAAGTGGGCTTGGTGGTTACCTTCCTCTAAGCCCTCTATGTGGGGCTGCTACCTCACTATCTGGTTGCAGGGCAATTACTGGACCTTCAGCTCTGCTGTCAGAGTGCACCTTTCATCTCTTTATCCCAGCACCTAGAAGAAGGCACCACACATGCCTTCTGTATGGGAGGCTCTACAGCACAGCATGAGGAGTGGCTGAGATGCCTAGCCTTGAAGTCAGACAGGTCCAGCCCTCTCTATGGAATTGTGGGTCACCTACTTATCCTTTCTTATCCTTGGCTTTCTCTTGGAAAATATAGGACACTCATAAGCATCTGCAAAGGCTTTTGTGAGCATGATTTCACAGGCCACCAGCCAGCCGCCCTGGGAGGCCATGGGAGGACTGATTAACTGAGGTTAACGGTATTCACTGTCCCTTGGGGGTTAATAGAAGGTAGGACCTCCAACCCGTGAGGCACAAATTGGCTTTCTCTGATTCACCACGGTCTCTCTAGCACCTGAGCCAGTGCCTGGACATAACAGACCTAGAGTTCTGCAGAACACACAAGTGGACTTTGACCGAAAACTTTTTTGATCCTGGGCTGGGGCGGGTATATACTTTTGTACACCGGACTCCAAAGTGGGGTAGATGGGAAGAAGAAAAATGACATAGGAGAAGCAAAATTCAGCTGGGACCAGAGAGAGTTTCTTAGAGGAAACCATGTATGTTATGACTGAAAGGTCCAGGACAACACGAATTAAGGCAGTGGTGGGGTAGAGGGAACACAAGGCTGAGTGTTGTGGAATGTGGACACATTTCAGGGGGATGAAAGCCACAGGGGAGAGAAGTAAGGCTCAAGAACTGGAGACAGCTACAGGGGCCCAGAAACACCAGCTACGGAGGAAAGGCCTGGAGATAACTAGGCTTGGCTTTAGGATAAAGGACCACAGAATGTGTCCTTGGCAAAGATAAATTTATACACAGTTGCAACTTCAGGCTCACTGATTGTGGGAAATCCACATTAGTTTTCATTTTCCTGTCACTTGCTAAAGTACAAAACAAAGTGAATGATCTGTGAGACGACAGATTTCTGTTGTTGCAGAGAGAACTCACCTCTTCCTGGTAGCTGGTCCTGTATGATCGCTCCAACTCCTGATCCAGGAAATTCAGACTGAACTGATTGATGGGAGGCTTGAAAAAGTAATCTTTCATCAGGCTGGAAGACACAACAAATGTAATCCATCAATACTTATAGCACAATTGACGTATCAGAAAATCACATTTAGCTACCAAAACACCATTCAATGAGCACATCACAAAAACTGCCTCTGAAAGTCACCATGTGATAGGCACTGCTTGACTGCTCCTTGCAGAAACATATGTCCTTGTGTTTCTAGACATAATTGCATGTTATGTTTCACCCCATTAAAGAATGCCCAGAACACACATCATTAGGCCCCGCTTTTGAAAACATATTCCTCATATCTAGGATTCGAGGACTGCGAAGGCAGCTCTTTTGCCCTGTGAAATGACGTTTTCTGAAGAACCAGCAGATCCCCGTACTGAGAGCGCTTATGTTGATTTGGATCCTTCAAATGAAAACAACTCAGAAGCAGCTGCCCTCCCACCTAGGGTACCGACAGCAAATGCCACTGTAAAGCTAACAGGTTGCTGCTGCAAATGGTATTTAGAGTCAGTGTAACTGTAGCGCTGCTGTGCACATGTGGATTGCTGGCAGACCTGAAAGATGACAGAGCTCAATGATTTCAATAGCAGAGAAGTCAAATCTGCCTTACGTGACTCTCATTTTTCAAGAATTGCCAACAAATAGCAATATCCTTTTCATAAGCCAGAAAGTTATAATAAATTTAAAGGAACATTGGCATGACTTCAGACAGCAAATGTGGGTATGCAGTTTCTCTCCCTTGTACAGTGGCCGTTAGCGTGAAGTCAGATAGAACGCACAGGAGTCTGGCACGTGCCTGACACACAGTAGGACCCCATAGCTGCACTCTTTTCCTTGCTGCACAATGGACTCCTTTCCTGTAATAACTTATGGCCATCTCAGACTTACAGGGGAGAAAATGTCCCTGATGTCGGCCCTCTCTCCTCCCTTCTACTCAGGAAGTAGGACAGAGGGGAAAACAACAAAACGGCCAGGGGAGGACGTGCAATAGCCACATTCTAGCAGCTCAGTGGCTGAACCAATGCTGCTACAAGCTGTACTGCTCCTTTTAAGTTAATATTGGGAGGTTACACTTCTGGGAAGGTGTATAGTACAGCTCATTTTGAACCACTCCTTTTACAGAAAACAACTATAAACTTTGGGAAAAAAACATACAAACAACTGCCAGGAGGCACAGAACAGTGACCAGGGCTGGCAGAGAATGGAGGGGAGTCACCCTTGGAAGAAGGGAACAGCACTAGGTACCTTTCCTATTTTTCACCTTTGTTGTTGTTTTTGGCCTGAAAACAGGTATTAGTCAGCACCGTATGCAGGGTGGCTAAAACTTGGACAGAAATGCCATAGTAGTGGAGTTGGGCATGCCTGTCATCCCAGCACTTAGGAAGTGGAGGCAGAGGGATATGAGTTCCAGGCAAGCCTGGACTACATAGTGAGACCCTGTCTCAAAAAAGAAAAGAAACAAGAGACTAGAAAGTACAGTTTGGGTGACCACAGACGGAGAATGAAGTTGTAAATATTAGAAGGGAGACAACCAGAGAAGGAGAACCCCAAATTCTGCATATAAACTGCTTAAATCTCTGGCTGACTCTTGAAATACACACATGCACGGCACACTCCAAGCAGCCCAGGTAATGCTGAAAGAACAGGGAGCAGAGTTTGGAGTTTGAATTCAGAAAGTTAACAGTTGAAATAAGAAAAAATTTACTTTTCAGAAGAGTATTGCAAAATGAGACTTTCTAGGCACCATACATAATATCCATAACACAACCCAAAGTCATAAGCCACACGGAGATTGGAAACCTAACCATACTCAACAGCAAAGCAATCAATGGGGAACAATTCAAGATTATGAGAGGTTGGAATTAAGAGGCTGGGGTTTATAGCATATGTAATGGAATACATGACAACTATGGCATAAGGACTAAGAAGGGAGTGATGGAACTATATTATAAGACATATTCATTTAAAATGAAGTGATACAATATTAACTCTAGAAGTCTATAACAAATTTAAGGATGTATATCTGAAACTCCTAGAGCAACCGCTAAACTGTGGTCTGAGGGTGTAGCTACAACTGAACTGAATCCCCAGATCACAGTTGGAGATTGTAATGCTTTTCTCTCAATAACTGATAGAATAATATACAGGAAATAAGTGAAGATACAGATAATCTGAACAATACTACTAACGACCTGGACTTAACTGATCACAGCATTCTACAAATACAGAATCAATCTCTCTCTCTCTCTCTCTCTCTCTCTCTCTCTCTCTCTCTCTCTCTCTCTCTCTCTCTCTCCCAGCAGTGCTGGGAAATGAATCCAGGGCCTTATGCATGGTAGGCAAACATTCTACCACTGAGCTACATCCCCAGCCCTTGAATTTCTGAGACAGGATCTGGCTGGCCTTGAACACACTACGTACCCCAGGATGGCTTTGTACTTGTGATCTTCCTGCCCTAATCTCCCCAGTGCTGGGATTACAGATTACAGGCTGTATCACTACACATGGCATATACACTCTTTTCAAGTGCAAATGATTTGTTCACCAAAATAGACCATACATGAGGCCATAAAAAAAGAGTCCCACAATTAATGTGAAAGGACGTGAAATCGCACAGAGCATGCTCTTGGACTACAACAACGGTAGCCATTAATAGCTAATACATCTAAAACCATTTCTCATTAAAAGGAGGCTCCTTGGAGAAAAGGCTAATCCCTGAGCAGGGGCAGGGAACATATAAAGTAATCCTGAAATACTCTGTTGTGCTGAAAAAATAAGGGAACTCCCCAAACAAATGAGGGGCCATGTCAAAGGACCCCAGGAGCCAGCATGAGGGCATTCTTGCTGGCTAGACTTGAGCATCCAAATATAAAAAGCACAAGGATGGATTATAGTCCAGGAAATAAAAGAGGAGTGCATGAGTTCAAGTTAATAACAGATGGATGATAAAGTAGCAAATGAAGAGGGTTCTTCCTTCCAGTGGAGGCTGAGCACCAAATGACAAGTGTGCTGGCAGTGCTGGAACTGGAACTCACTGATTTGAACCATCACAGTAAAGACTGTTTTAGGCAAGACTTATCAATGGATATTAAAGTAAGGAAGTCTGATAAGGAGTGGGATAAGTACAAGATATTAAAGTATCTTCCCACAGATGGCTTATTAGGCATAAGGAGAAAATAATCACCATAGAGGAACTGGTGACACCTCGATTGGTTAATCAAGATTATCATCACTAACGAGGACAAATGTACACCATGTGCCTCTGGATGCAACACCCTGAGGGCCAAAGCCACAGAACCTGAATCTAATCATAAGGAAATGTCACACAAATCCAGCCTCAGAATATTTTGTAAGAGAACTGGCCTGTAATTTCTAAAAATAGCAACATCATGAAAGACAAAGCAGGGCTGAGGAACTGTCTCAGATGAAAAAGACTAAAGAGGGGCTGGCGGAGAGGCTCAAGTGGTAGAGTGCCTCGCAAGTGTGAGGCCCTGAGTTCAGTCACCAACAACACACACACAGACAAAAGAGGCCTGACAACTAAAGGAAGCAACATGTGCTCCCAGACGATTCTGGGCTGGAGGGAGTGTCGGATCATCTGACAGAACTGGAATACCGACAGTGAGTTAGACTGGACATCACATCAATGTTAAATTCCCTGAGTTTGGCAATGAGTTATGTAAAACAACATCCCTGTTTTTAGGAAATGCAGTGTGAAAGGGTAAAGACGATATAGCCACCATACTGCCAAATGATTCAGGAAGAAACAAAATAAATTTCATACAGAAAGGAGAATGGAGGAAAGAGGGATAAAACAGACTTAATGTTAAAAATTGGTAGACTAGGCAGAATACAAAGGAATTATACATAGTATTTTTGCAAATTTTTAAGTTTCAAATTACTTCAGAATAAAAATAAGTAAGTTTGTATAATGACAATGGAGGACAAATGCAAGGATAAGGCAACTCAGAAAGCGAGAGCTACTTCTGCGACCCTTCACCACTCTGCGATGGCCCCGTCTTACCTGTCTTCTTTGATAACGTCCACGAAATGGGCGTCGGTTTTCTCACGGATGTTCTTGAACCTCAGTGGAAGGAGAGCAGACTGGTCTAAGCTCACACCTGCCCACCGACCTTTTTCCTGCAGGATCTCACACAGGGAGGTTTGGCTATTGGTGAGCTTTTCCTCCTGAGGAGGGCTCAGAAGTCCATTCTGGGTTTTGGAGTTGGGCCCTCCAGAAGCCTGCCTCAAGACAAAGAGGAAGCAAGCACGAGAAGTGAAGTAGGGGACTAGAGCACTGCTGAGTCCCACCTGACCCCATGCCATTCTGAAGCCCTTGCCTTAAGTGCTGGATGCCCTGACCTGTCTGAGGGACCTTGCCTGCAAATCTGCCTCCACCTACCTCTCTACTAGCCTGCTTCCCCTGTGAATCTGCTTTGGAAGGGCATCTCCAGCTTGTCAGGAGTCAGAACAGTGATGTTGTGGGAGGGCTGAGGGTCAGGAGCTTGATTACACAGAACTAGGGCTCTAGGGAGCTGCAGGAAGGTCTGGGGCAAGGAGGGGTCCAGGGAAAGGAAACCCAGGCTGCCAGTGCAGCACTCAGAAGCAGGTGGATTAATAGCAGCTTGTGTTTTGGGGGCCTCTGTGGCTTCAAGTAAATGGGCTGACCTGCACACACAAGTCCTTTGGCAGATGCTGGGGATTGGAGAATGACAGAGATCGTGCCTCGAAGTCTTACTGTAGTGCTCAGGTTCAGGCTCTACTCTGCTTTCCACTCTGGTCCTGCCTAGGTCTCTAAGCTCTGTTTTCCAGCAGCCTCCCTGTTGCTGCCCTGCCTCCAGCCTCTCTGAGGAGTGTGATTCTCACTTGAAAGAGGCCCTTCTTCTCTTTGCACATCTGAATTCTACCTTATGTTGAATCAGGCTTCCAGTCCACAAATCCTCTCACCACTCTAACTCATGTGTCTTAAAACTTATTGGTCCTGAAGGAGGCTGTTCAGCCCATAATCATTCGTTCAATCATTTTACTTCACTTGGGTTAGGGTTGACTCTCTATACTGTTCTCCCTCCTTCCCCCACCCTTCCCCTTTTTTTCTCTTCCTCCCTCCCTCCCCCTCCAGTCCCTCCCCTAGTCCCACCCTTCCTCTCTCTCTTGTAGTGGGTAGTGGGGACTGAACCAGGGCCTTACATATGCTATACAGCACATACGCTACTCAGCCCTGCCATCCTGTCCTCAAAACCCAAAGACTAGAAGGTATGGAATGCTATTACCTAAGAGGAGTTATGCTCAGAACTAAGAAGTTGACGAGACAGGAATGTCACCTTAGGTGGATGCGCCAGGAGAGGAACTGACAGGAACAACAGCCATGAGCTTGTTACCTTGGTGCTGGCCTTGGGCTCGTCTTGACAGCCATTTTGCACAGCTCCTCCTTCTGCACCAGCTTCAGATTTGGGAGCAAATGTGATTCCACATGAAGAGCAAGTCTATAAGAAAAACACAGTCCGTAGGAACACGCCAGGAAACATCACCATGACATGCAATTCAAACAAGTCCGTCAGTGTTGTTGTCATTTTCTGTCACACAGGAATGTCATGACCAAAATGGAAGGCTTACTGGGCCACTCAGGGAGGAGCTAACAGTGAACTGGCAAAGTGAAGATGGAAACAGGCAGAGCAGCATTGTCCACAACAGCCAGAGCGGAAACTCCGATGTCAATAAACTGTGGGTTAGCTGTAGAAAGGGGTCGCATTCATCTCAAAAACAATGAAGTGAGGGCATGCAACAACACAGAGAAACTTGAAAACTCTGTCCTTAATGAAAAAAGTGAGACACAAAAGGCCACATATGGTGTGATGCCATCTACATGACATGTCCAGAGAAGGTGGCTCCATAGAGATAGAAAGCAAATTAGTAGTTGCCAGGGGTGAGGGGAATAGGGGATGGAGAGTGAATTCATGCAAAATCCTAATTCCCAAGGTGATGGTAGTAGGAGGTGGGGCCTCTGGGAGGTGACTAGGATTACTGCCTTTATAAAAGAGACCCCCAGAACTCCGTCACTTCTATCCTGTGAGAAGGGGTCACCTATGAACCACAAAGTGGTCCCTCACAGGACATCAAATCTGTTGGCATCCTGCTCTTGGACTTCCAGTTTCCAGAATGGTAAGGAATAAATTGCTGTTGATTACAAGTCACCTAGTTGATGGAATTTTGTTACAGTAGCCAAATACACTAAGATAGACATTTTTCAGGGGTGATGGAAATGCTCTGAAATAACTGGGGTAACAGTTTCATTTCCTTGTGGATATTCTAAAAAACACTGGATTGCACACTTTAAAACAGTCAATTTTAGGGGAGGCTGGAGGTGTGGCTCAAGCAGTAGAGCACCTGCTCTGCAAGCATGAAGCCCTGAGTTCAAACCCTAGTTCCACCAAAATAAATAAATAGTCAATTTTATTGTATATGAGTCATATCTCAACAAAGCAGTTACTAAGTAAAGAAACTGGCCACCAACTTATTCTAGAACACTAACAAAGCTGAGGTTCTTGAGCCCTCTGTGACAGAGAGCTATCCTCTTAAGTCAGGCTGAAGCAAAGGTAAAACTCAATCTGACAGGTGCAGCAGAGAGAGCAAGACTGCCATTTCTCATAAACCAGAGTTTAAGTTGTCACTAAATTACTTACTAGCATGGAGACCCCACTCCAATCACTTTATCTCAGTCCCTTCATGTGTAAGATAAGAGGGCAAACGCTTTTCTTAGAGATAGGTTCTAAGGAGTAACTGAAATAAGTATGTACACAGCCGAGCACAGTTCTTGGCACTTGTACGTCCTTATCAGACGTATTATTAAGGTGATGAAGCAGCCTAGGAGCTGTCACTGGGATGGCAAGGAATGTTTCCAGTGAAGAAGACAAACTGCAGCCGGAGAGACAATTTCCTTGCAGTAAGAACTATTAAACTAGCCAGAAACAGTGGCTCATTGCTGTAATCCTAGCTACTCAGGAGGCAGAGATTGGGAGGATCGTGGTTCAAGGCCAGACCAGGCAAAAAGCCCACGAGACCCCCATCTCAACCAATAAAGGCTGAATAATAATAATAATAATATAAAAGGGAAACTTTTGGGGGGAACCAGAGGAAGGAGAAGGGGGAGGAGGAAAAAGAGGGTGGAAAGGGGACCATACGTATGTATGGGACTATTGTCATGAACAGCTTTTTACAATTAATATATGCTAATAACTTTTTTCTAAAAAGAGCTGCGTAGTTTAGGTATCTGATGTCATGTGGTTTGAACATTTGTATTCACCTGAAAGATGGAAACAGATGTGTTAAAGTAGCTCACAAAATCAGTAACTAACATATCTGAGCAAATTTTAGCTCCTAGGTAAAATTTGCTAATAGCTCTTTAACTGATAATATACTACAATAAAATTATTTTAAAGAATCTCATGGTATTGGCTAAGTTAAACTTCAAAACATTTTGCCAATGGAGTCACTGATCTTCTCAAATGAAACACACCCACATACACCCCCCCCACACTCTCTCCAATACCAAGCACACAGAGTGACCCTCAAAGCCCCCAATGGAAAAGTGAAGCAAGTGTGTCCAACAGACATACTCAGCAGGACCCCAGAAGGTTGGGGGAGAGAGCAACTGGCCTTGGTGCTGGTGGAGGTGGCTAACTTGCTCCTCCTGGGGACACAACGATCATTTTAGGGACCAACTGGTAGATCAGGTAAGGGAGAGACACAGCTTGGTGTGTAGGGACAGACTGACAGACATTATAGATTGAGACACTAATCTAAGTTAAAACTGTAGGTTTGGCAGGAGCTGTGGCTTATGTGTATAATCCTAGCTATCCCAGAGGTGAAGACTAGGAGGATAGAGGTTCCAGGCCAGCCCGGGCAAAAAGTTTGTGAGACCACTGTAAAAAAAGAGATTCCAATAAAAGCTGGGCATGGTGGTTCACACCTGTCATTGCAGCTACTCAGGAAGCAAAAATAGGAGGATCTTGGTCCGTGCTGGCTGGGCATAAAGTGAGATCTTATCTCAAAAATAACAGTGAAAAGGGCAGGTGGTGTAGTGGTACAGTTCCTGCCCAACAAGCAGGAAGCCCTGAGTTTGACCCATAGGGTGTCCAATATAAAACAAAATGTAAGTTCTAAGGACTTTCACCAATTTCAAAATGAGAACAAAAGAGTAAAAAGCAATTTCTCTGACCCCTTTTAACACTGAGACTAGACAAGTAGCATACCCCAAAAGTCCTGGCTTTGGAATCACCTTGTCATGGACTGAATCTTGGTTCTACCACCTAAAAGGTGAAACTTTTAGGTGAAACTGAGCCTCAGTTTCTTTCTTTGCAAAATGGGGTTATGACTACCTTGAGGAATTATCATAAGGGCAAAATGAGAAAATACATGTAAAGTGTGTCAGAGGTCTTTCCATGCAGTTTTTATTTTTTATTTTTTGTGAAACAGGATTTGGCTATATAGTAGCTGGCCTGGAACTCACATAGCCCAGGCTGGCCCCAAGCTGGTGATCCTCTTCTGCCTCTAGCCTCTGAATGCTAGGATTATGGTTGTGCACCACCACACTTGGCTTCAGCAGCTTCATTTTGTGCACCAGGTCCACTCACACGGTGCTGACTTCATGGAATACGGAACGGAGAAGCATTAGGAGGACACAGCCTTGCTCTGTGGGAGAACTGGTTGGTTGGTGACCTCTCTCATGGGCAAAGGTCGGGCGAGTGGGCACAGAATCCCAGGCCCCCGGCAGGGCCCCAGGCAGGAATCTGAACACTGCAGGAGGTTACTTCATCGCACTTTGAAAATGCTGCTCTTTGCTACTCTCTTTCTTCCTTAGCTCCTCTCCTTTGAGGGAGCGTTGATCACAATTTAAAACAAGACAACCACCTTAGAGAAAACCACGCTACTCAGCGCAGACATCTCCCATCTCAACACTCCCTTCTGGTCTACAGAGAAAGACCCCCTTCTGAACCAGAAGAGTCCCTTCATAAAACAGCGGGTGGGTTTGCTTCCCTCTCTACACCACCGCAGCCATTTTCCTTTCACTCTTTCCCATTTCTTAATTTTAGTCTGGATTAAAACATCCCTTACAACTTTACTGATATCCCTTACAAGTACTGTTACCCCTGTGAAACTCTCCCAATCCATTAAACATCCATCTCTCCCACAGCTACAGGTACCTCCACCCCTGTGGAGACACCCAGGAACCAGGTGGAGACACACCTCACCATGTGAGGAAGCATGGCTCACAGAGCAGCAATGCTGGCAGGCATGTTAGATAAAATCACTGTTGTAATGATAACTGCTATGATTCAGGAACCTCTATGTGCTGAGGACACAGCAACAGGTAGGTCTGCAGCTTCACGTATATGATGTCAGTGGATCGTATAACCACACTGAGGCAGAAATGAGCCTTCTGAAGATGCAAGAGCTCATGGACAGAGGGGTTAGACTCCAGGGCTCCAGCCCCTGACCACCACAGGGTTTCCCTTTGGCTGCCTCTCCTGGCACAAAGAGGGCCCAGGAATAATCCTGGCACTTTGATCTCCTGGACTACCATCCCCTAAAATGACCCAGCCACAATGACTGTACTCCTGGTTCTTCTGAGTGACTCCAGGGAAGCTTCTAAGGTCATTCCAACAGCATATTCCTCAGGCCAAGGAGTTTGCTGGCCGTTGCCTAGGTAATCTGAGATTCCTTGGAGAAGATCCAAGAATGCACTGTACAGCTTCCCAGACTATCTGTGCCTCCTCCCCCCACCTCCATGGATGTGGGCTTTGCAGGAGTTACTCTTAACACATGTGGGCACCTTCACATTAGGTCTTTTCTTCAAGACTGCTTCTCACAGCAAGGTAAGTCATTCTGAAGCCAACAGTTATCCCTTTCCATAACTGTCACAGGTCGGGCAAGGAAGCCCCTCTGGAGAAGAAAACATCAGAGAAGTCCTGCTTTGCCTGGTTAGTCTGCTGAACATGCCTAGCCAGCAGGGTATTCAGATTCTAGAAGATGCATACTCTTAACAAGAAACTCTTGTTGAATGTGGCAGGCAGGGGGAAGAATGACAACAACAAACATGAGTCACTGATAAGTTCTTCATGTGTATCAGTTTATGATGCAGTCACTATGATTAGTCCCATTTTACATAGAGGACAGAGAAAACAAGGAATTGCGTGGAGTCACACAGTTGGAAAGTGGTGGAGTGTCAGTCCAGGCAGCAGTGCCTACAACCCTGACACCACGCACACAACACTGCCATGTAAGGCAGAAGTCGTGGAGCTAACTCCTATGCCACTGGTGGCCAGGGCTTTGTTATTTAAGCAAATGCATTAGGTACAGGTAGGAACACTTCAAAATAGATGATTTCTGCTCAGACAACATTAAAGGAAAACAGAAGCAGCAATTAATCACAGAAAAAGAAACACATCCCAGAAGCTGTAAGAACAGGAAGCAGACTGCTATGGATGCTGAAGGCAAAATAACAAACACACACCTGTAAAACTCAGACAGACTATCTCAAGGCCACACTGTGTGGTGCCCAAGGACCATCAGCCCTTCACGACCATTGCGCTTAAAACTCTTATGTCGACAGTTTTGGTGCAGCCACAGGATGTGCAACCATGGCCATTATCAGTTCACACGCCCACCTAAAACAAATGTAATTTCTAAACTTCGTGTGTGTGTGTAAAACATAGGCTTATATTTTCAGTTTCTATAATGGACTAAAGGCCCTTTACTCCCTCAAACTGGGCCACCTGAGTCTATTCATAATGACTTAACATCCAGGTATAAAGAGGCAAAAGAAGTGATATTTATTTAGTGTGATTTTAAAACATCACAGAGACTGTCACGAAAGAATGTTTCTGGGCCTCAAAGGGAAAGAATGAGCATTCTGAACACAGGACACGCCCTCTCTGAATCATCCCTATGGGGCAAATCCATACCGTTAGCTTCATAACTGGCTGAAACCCTGTAGAAATGCCCAGGTTCTGAATAACAGATTAAGCAACTTACAGAGATCTCCAAGCAGGTACATTCTTGGTGAGGCCTTTCAGAGATAAACTAAGATGTTTTAAAGCTCAACGAGTTCATGGGTTAGGACTAATTTGGTTTTCATTTTCTTTGTTCTTCACAAAGACACTGGAAAAGCTATTTTCATTGACAAACTTGCAGTCTTGATCCAACCATCACCCAGTGTTGGTAACAACACCTGCTCCAGAGCTGTCAGTATCAGCAGGCCAGTATGCCCATGTTTCTATATCCTATTTTTGACTTGGTTATATCAGATAGCATCTATCCCCACATCAACAATTGACTGCAATAATTTTAAGAATCTCCTTCAAACCAGAATGGAAAGGGTAAGCCCTTCCCAAGAGAGTCCACAGCTTCCTGTGACCAAATCTGACATCATCTCTGCCTCCTCCCAGCCTCTTCTTCTCCTGCTATTGTCAGCATCCATTGTTCTGCCTGGAGGGAGCAGATGTATGCCCAGTACTGACCCGGCTTCGACTCCAAATCTGTCATTCGTGGGCATGGCTTCACCTCATCTCAGACAGCTCTGAGAGGTTTCCTCCTCAGTACCATCTTGCCTATGAGAAACACTGGGTTAAAGAAATCCTGTGATTTCTTCACAGACCCAAAGGCAAGGCTTTGAGAAGGACCAGCAGTTTGTAGTCATGGCTCTTTCCATGATACCTCTGCTGCCCCTCAAGTCTGACGGGCAGAGTCCTTGTCTCGTTCTGTTTGTCCCTCTCAACTGTCCTCAAGGTTCCAAACGTGGACCTTGGAAGCATCAATATACACTCAGCTGCAAAGCTGAGTTGCCACGGTTTTGGCATCTCTCTCCACCCCACTGTGTGGGGCAGCGCCCTCCTCACAAGGAACTCTCACTTCTTATCACTTCAAAAAGCCAATACTGGGGTGTGGGAAGGGTTCCTTTGACCTATAACCTCAGGACCAAAGCCCTTGGCCCATGACATTGCTATCATTTCCTGGTAGGTGGTTATAGTACTCGAGTGTTTTATGAGAGAGTAGATAAGAATTTGCCAGCCAAGAGGTAGAGAATTTAAAGACATATAGGATACAGTGGAAAATAGATTCTTCCTGGATGTTACCTTGGTTCTAAATAGTTCTGCCAAGGTTTCTAAGTTTGGTCCTCTTTATCTACTTCTCTCTGTGTATCATTATGGAATTAGAACTTAGGTCAAAAGAAGTTGTAATTATTGACTGCATTCCGGGCACTGTGCTGGACACTTGGGAAATGTCTAAGTAATTTAACTTACAGTCCCTGTACTCAGAGCACACAGAAAGAGCACAGGAGAGGAAGGTTTAAGATTGCAGTTGATAGAGCCAAGGGTACAGACTATAAGAAGTAAGAAGGTGGAGATGAAGAAACAGCACCACCAGCTAGGGAGGCACAGGAAGTTGCAGAGAAATTAATTAGAGATGCTGTAGTGGCAAAGGCCAGGAGAGGATTCCAGGAGGAGGAGGGGCATGCACCCCCTCAGTGACTGCTTACTGACCACACTCCTCTAAGTTTTGGTCCTGGGAATGATGCTCCCACTATACAAGCACCCCCCAAACAGTGTCACCCACAGCATGTGCCCCGCAAGGTACAACTTGAGAAAAGACACGTGCAAAGAGGCCTAAGAATGCCACGCATCCCCGCCTCATGGGAGGCAGCAATGCCTACGGGCACACTAATGTCTCTGAGAAGCCCTGCAGTAGAGAAAGCCCTTCTGTGCTGTTTAATCCAGAATTTCTCAAATCAACTGGAGCGCACAGCCTCTTTGTGTATGTAACACCATCCTACCTCCCCAGGATCCTTCCTGAGAAACTACAGCTCAAGGAAACAGACTTTGAAAGTGTGTTTCCGACTCAGCAAGGCAGGTGAGGGCAAGAGAGTGAGGATGGAGTCAGAAATCCATAGGGAGTTCACTCTTGAATGAGGTGGCAACAGCAAAGGAAAAGCGGCCTGCTGACAAGAAGAGCCAAGAACCCTGGTAAGGGATTAGGAAGGGCTAGAGTCAGCACATTGGAAAAGCTCATCGCGGTGCAGATGGTAACCACTAAGGCAACAAACCAATGCCACCTGTGCAAGGCACAGACAAATTTGTATAAATCCACCCAAAGGACACAGGAGTGAGTCACTGGTATTTTACATTTCTACTGTCCAAAACCTCTTACTTGAGGGAAGGTCTTATAGGTCAGATCATAATTTATATAATCTTTAAAGCAGACTTAGTTTTCCATCTTTCCAGCTTAGGATCATAGCGAATATGATTTGTTCATAGTAATCCAGTGCTTGTGATTATGAGGTGCTTAGACACCTACTCTCCTGTGAGCCTGGGAGGCAGCATGGTAAGAAGAGCCCTCTATGGCGGCTACATGGGTCTTTTAGCTCCTTGCATCTTCCGCCCCAACTATGGAATCCACATAACTCCAGTGTTCTGAGACAGCCTATCCAAACCATTCAAACATCTCAGAAACTATACTTCTCTACCTGATTCATCTTTGCCTCCTTAAAGGGACACAAAGATTTTGTTGTTGTTGTTATTGTTGTTGTTGCTCAAATGCCTTTGGCAGCAGTCCACAGATCACTAGATTTTTCAGGAAACTTTCCAATTATTTGGAAAATATACATGACATAGAGTATGCTAAACCATTTGCCCACCCAGAACGAAACAGCTATCTATGACTAGAACGAAATGCTCTTTCAGGATGAATGAAAACCTGAAAGCAATTTGGCATAGACTCTGCTACAAAAACTGCAAGTGTGTGATATGGTGACCTCAGCCACTGCAACCCCTGATGGGTGGAAACACAACACGCACAATTCAAAATGTCAGGCGACTACAACAAATCATTTATTTTGGGCTTTGAGCTCTGTTTCTCTACTTAAATACAGCTCTGTGTGAAGCCTGGAGGAAGCCATTTCTCCCACGCAATCAAACCATATTTGGAAAGCCACATTCGTTTATCCCTCCCTTCCCATGCTCAGTAACATTAGCTGAGAGCCCCTCCATCTGATGCTTCAAAACGCCAGGCTAGTGCGGAAGCTGTCTCTAAGGAGGACAGGCATTCAGGAGATTTCAGATGAATCACCTGTCCTAAGCGTGCAGAAGTGGCATGAGAGAGTCGAACACTACCGTCCCAGGGGCCCACTCACTGTGGCTCTGCCCTCCCCCTGCCCCAGGGAACACAGGGAAATGTCAGGAGATGTTTTTGGTTGTGGCACTGGGGAAGGGTGGGATTACTGGCATCCAGTTGGCAGAGGCCAGAGATGATCCTGACTGCACAACGAGCCTAACTACACAGCACTATCAAGTCATGGTAAGAGTGCCAAGGCTGAGAAGCTGCATTAAATTAGCAAAGCGCACCGGGAAAATAATCAACGAGCTTTCTCAATAAGCCTGAACGCAGTAGTTACCAGTAACTGCATGACAGGCATGATGGAGCCCAACATGGTAAAATAACCTGAATACCCCAGCTGGCTGCCTCATTATGAAGACTGTTAAGCTTAAAGACCATCAGCTAGCTTTCAAGTCTGCTAACAAATGTGGGTAAGTAGAATGTGCTGGATGAAAGCTGTTACAATAGCCCATCATCCTAACATAACATTTGTTATCTGGGAGCACAGAATAGTGAATTAGAACCATTATAATGATCTTGTTTTCTTTTTAAAAATGGAAACAGCAAATATTTGAACTGTAAAAATAAGCAGAAGGTAACAGTGGGGAAACTAACTCAAGTCAATGTGAAAACTGAGGAATAGCAGTTACAAGAAACAAGAATGATTTCAAATGCCCAAAGTTGAGCATGTTAATTCCTGGGTTATTTATCATGACATAATGTCGATCTAGAAACAGGCACTTCTAGACCAGATGATGTCTGTTCCAATAATGAAACACCTAACACTCTTGACAATGTGACTTGTTCCAGTGAGCTACATGGTAAGATTCACCCACAGCAACAAAATTCAAGATAACCACAAAACTTGATTTCAAGAGACACAGGAGTATTTGAGAAAGTGGTTTCTAAAATAAAATAGAAACCAGCTCTGCAAGCAAGATGCAAAGAAAATTACCTTTACTGTCGTTTATCATTAGCTTTTAGAAATCCCAAAAGATACCACAGGCCGCAGAACAAGAAAATAACTAAACTCAAGTGAGAAACAACTTTATGTGAGGCAGAAAGGAAATGGAGGTGTGTCATGTCAAAAAACAAGGATATTAAAAATGCAAAATGCTGCTAACTTTATATTAATTTTAAAAATGTAAAAGCCAAATTGAAAGGCATTCCAAGTTGTTTGCCACAGGCTGCCTATTACTTTACATGTTCTATTGCAGAATTAATATAAAGTTTTAGAAGAAAGAAAAAAAAAAAAACTAACCTTAACGTTATCAAAGGTTTTGACAGTCTGCGCCAAGTCACTGACACTCCCTGATGATGCTGTCCCCTGTCCCCTAGGGCCTGAGGACAACCGTGAGCCGTCAATGACCTCAAAGCCAGAAAGCAAGGCCTCTGCACAGCTGCAGTGAGACTCCTTGGCTCTCTGACCCGATATCAGGTATGTCTTCAAACCTATGATGGATAAAAATTACAATCAGCACAGATTGAAACCACCGTTGGTTGAACTGCAGCTTGATCTTGCTCTCTGTGGAGAACACACTCCTGAAAGGTGGAAGTAAAGTGAAAATGTGAGTTTGTCATATTTTGTAACTACCTTCCCGGTCTTCTCAGACAGATGTAGCCTCGGGGAGACCATTTGCCTCCAAGACACACCATTTACTCATACTGCATTCTCTTTGAAGAATGCTGCATGTTTTACCTTCAGGGACTCAAATGAACATTAAAAATTCCTCCACGAAGGGGTCACGTGACTTCTTTGTAATGGCAGCAGAGCAGATTGATGGTTAGCTCTCCACACTGCTCAGGTTGGTTGTGATCTGTAAACACCTATTCCTGACATTTTTAAGGGGCAGTTGGGATGCAGGGGAGACCTCAACCCCAGGGAGAGTCCTTTGTCCAGACAACTGCCCATCTGCTCCCTGCCCAGCTCCAGCACTGCAAGAGAATATACAGACAGCTTTTCCTGGAGCATGCAGCACAGAATGCAGAAAGGAGGCTGAGCAAGGAGACGTAAAAAGACCTGAGCCATAGAGGACAGTAACAAAGTCCCAAGGTTGAGTGTGCCCTCAGCAGGAAGCACTAGCAGCAGCTGCCTGCCTTTGCTGTCACGAGCCCTAACAGAATGCCTTGACACTCACATCTCTGAGGTCTGTCACCACTTGGTAATTGTGATACCAGATCGCTGTTCATTCACCAAACATTTACTAAACATTTCTGTTTACCACATGCTGTGGCAGGTACAGAGGCGATGAGAGTTGCCCCCTCAGTCATGGTTCAACTTGTGTGGAGCCCATCACATGAAATGGGCCCAGGCCACAAGCTGATGTGACACAGTCAGGTTGCAATGCGTGGGAGGAAGGCACACGGGGGGCACTCTGGGAAGCACAAGACAAGGCATCTTGCAAAGACTTGGGAAAGTGAGTGCTGTGGTTTGAGTTTTTTTCCCTCCAAAATTCAGGGGTTGCCAATGTGACAGTACTAAGAAGTCACGAGGGCTCCTACCCCATGCATGGGGCTGAGGCCCTTGTTATAAGAAGATTCATGCAGCATTCTGACATCTTGCCTTCCCACCTTCTGCCCTGTGAAGACACTGTTCCTCTCCTCTGAAGGATGAAGCCCTCTACAGTCAACCAAATTGTATCAGTGCCTTGATTTTTGGACTTCCTAGTCTTCAGAGCTGTGAGAAATAAATTTCTGTTCGTTATAAATTATCCAGCCTGTGGTGTTCTGTGATACCAGCATGAGCAGACTTAAGACAGAAGACCACCAAGATAACATGTCCCCCAGGTGAGGTCAACCCAGGCAGCAGGTGTTTCTAGAATAGTCCATGGAGGTCCTTCTAATAAAGCTTTTGGCAGGCACAGTCAAAAAATGGTACTGAGTTAGTGCAGCTGGGACAGAGAGTGTGTGTGGGATAATGGCCAGGGGGAGCAGGGCCGATGGGCATCACCACAGTCTGCATCCTGGAAGCTACTAAGAAGCAGGGAAAAAAGAAGGCCAGCTGGAGGGCCAGCCCAAGGCTGAAGATGAGCCAAGGAGCTGGTGGAATGCCACCTACCGTGGGTGGGAGGGGAGTGGGAGACATGGTGGAAATGGGGAACTTAACCCCTAAATGTGGGGATGACAGGCAACATTCAGAGATACAGTGAGCAAGGGCTTGGCTTTGGGAAAGGAGTCCTGAGAGTTGAGCTTGAGCTCCATCACCTCCGAAATGTGGCACCTACATGGACTACTTCATCCCTCTACCATTTGGTTCCTATAAGGTGGGCTGAGAACAGGATCACTCCATGGCAAGGCTCCAATGATTCTTACATGTAGCCTTCACAGGGCCTGGTGCACAGTGTGTACTTGGTAACAGTACCTATTATTATCAACATAGAGTGTGACCTGTTTGTCACCAAGAGCCCTTTTCATACTCCTTCTATGTACAAAAGTATGTGCAGAGCTTTTCAATCAAAATTGTTCCAAATCTGTTTCTACACTTGAATTTTTCTTTAGGGAGCTCTGAATGACCAACTGTAATGACAACGCTGCTAGTGTTACAAAGGTCAAACACACCTAAGTGGCCACAGCAAGGAAGTTTGGTGGATAAAATTAATACATTTTTATTTAGGGTTCAATAGAAAGAGCTAGTTTAAAGTGAAGCCATTTGTCCAAACCAGAAAGATATCAGAATGATACAGTAAGACAAGGCTTAGTTACCCAAAGGACACACCTTGAGAAAGGTGTTAGGACAAAGTTTCTGAGCTCAAGCTTAGTGGAAGCCTTAAGTCAGCAGAGTTAACGGTTTAATGAGTAACCACACACATGGATCCTGGGTCCAACACTTCACAGAATGGCTCTTCTGGAGCAGAGGGTCAGAATAAGGCAGCTAAATGATTTATTTTGTTAAACACACACACAGAGAATAAACACCATTTCTGTTTTTCTTTCCTGGTAGTTGATTTTCAATCTCACCAGCACTTATGTCTTTTATTAGCTTCATTTTACAATGGCTGCAGAGGGGGAGGCATTTCCTAACATGTTCCTGTCTGGTGGAGGAATCTGTCTGCAGCTGTGTGCTGGGATGATTAACATGGTCAACATCCCTGAGTGTTCTTAAGTACCATCAGTCTTCCTCATCAGTGGATTCTGCATCCATGGGTTAAACTGACCATGGATCAAAAATATTTGAAAAAACTGCTTCTGTACTGAACCAGTATAGATTTTTTCCTGGTCGCTAGTCCTTAAACAATATAGTACACCAAATATTTAAATCATCTAGAGATGATTTAAAATATACGAGAGGATTATAGGTTATATGCAGATATTATGCCATTTCACAGAAGGCACCTGCGTGTCCTCAGACTTGTGTCTATGGGGGTCCTGGAGCTAACCCCCATGGATACTGAGGGATGAATGTATATCAACACTTTGAGGACAAAAACTGCTATGCATACATGGGTGATCAGTTTTGGTGAACTGAGTATAATCTGAGGGAGTGACAAAGTCCATTTTGGAAAATAACAAGGATTCAGATATATTTTATCCTGGTCTTTTTCTGAGAGACTCTTGCTTTGGAGTGAGAAATCTTTAGTCTCTAGGAATCAAGGACAAGACTGTCAATGCAACAGAAAGGGAAGAATAACTAGTATGTTTAAAACATAACAAATGCCTAGAAGCTGACATCACTGATGATTTAAACAATAAACACAGAGAGGCAATCAGCTTGGGCTGGTTCATAAACATTCTTTTCACTTTGCCTTATATTTTTCCTCACAAGTAGGTCTGAAATGGCCAAAATTACTTAAACTAAAATGCAATCAGTCAATAAAGAAAATAAAGATTAAAGGCACTTTGTCATTATTTTTTAAGACAGGGTCTTCCTAGGTAGCTCAGGCTGGCCTTGTACTCATGATCCTCCTGTCTTAGCCTCCTGAGTGCTGGGATTATAGATGTATGCCACCATGCCTAGCTTTGAAGCACTCAACCTACCAGGTAGTGTAGGGCCTATAAGGTTAGATATGATATTGTATAATTATCTGTTGCTTCTTAAGAAGACCAAAAGTTTTGATGAAAGTAAAATCATCTGGTGTTAACATTAAAACACTCTAGATGGCTTTTAGTCCTGCCACTTCTATGTAAAATAAATGATCACCAAAATGGACAAGTTCTGGTTTGCCCAATAGTTGATGACAAATCACAGATTCTAACAGCAGGTGGCTCTTGGTGAAATTGAACGTCTTTTTTTTAAATGCAGTCCAAGCAATAACATATGGACAGATTTAACCCAACAAGGTGAAGAAATAAAAGCCTGTTTAATTTGACCTTGAGTAAAACTTCAGCCTAAGAAACACACACACACACACACACACACACACACACACACACACACACATCCTCTACATCTGAAAGGATTTTTTTTTTTTTTTTTTTTTGGTGGTGGTATTAGGGATTGAACCCAGAGCTTCATGCAGGCAAGAGCTTTAGCATTTAAGCCACACCTTCAGTCCTTTAGTTGGTGTTTTGTTTTAGAGACTGGATCCTGCTATCTTTTTTCCTTGGTTGGCCTCAAACTCTCAATCCTCCTGCCTCCACCACGCCTGGCTCTGAACAGGAACTTTTTTACACCCAGCTTCCCCCTCTCTACTTGTCATGGGTAATGTGCTGCCACCAAGGTCATTGTGGGTGACTGGGCATCCACTTAGTGACCATGCCCTGTCGTCCTCTTCTAACGTCTACATTTGGTGTTCTAAGTACTGTGATACTGAATGCTAATACTATACGACGGTCCAGTGGTAACAAAGGTCAGCGGTCATGCCTCCTCCTCTAAACAACCTTAGAGCCATGCTTTAATATCATGAATCTTCACCAAAGCCCCAGAGTCAAGTGCTCTGGAAGATCCTATTTGGCACACCTGCCATGTACTATTCCATTCATTCATCTCACTTATTTGATCATTCATTTACCCAGCAAATTAAGTCTGTATTGGGTCCTTACTTAGGGTTAGGACTGGGCTAAGGGTTGAAAGACAAAAAGTGCTCCAGCTGTCAAAACTGAGTCAGATGGAAATTTTTACTTCTATGCTTGACTTCAGTTCCCTTGTCTTTGAAATGGAAATATTACATCATAGGGCTGCTGTGAGAGTTAAATGGGTTGGTATGTGGAAACAGGGAAATGCAAAAAAGAAAGACAGCACTTCTTCTGAGGAGTAACTCAGAGAACACCAGGATAAGAAAGAATAATACAGGGAGTGAATTTGATCAAAGTACATTATATATATGTGCATATGGAAATATCACAATGAAACCTCTTTATACAATTAATACATAGTAGTAAAAAATTCAGAAGGCAAAGAAAAGAGTAAACTGAGGAAGGGCATGAATAAGCAGTAGAGTTGCTGGTCAGCAGTGAAGAGGAGGACAGGCAAGTGGTGACACAACCTCCAAGAGAGAGTTACAAGGATCCCAGCTTATGCTGACAGTGTTCAAGAGGCATGAAAGCACTTTTACAATGAGTTGTAGACAATAAAAGGGAAGAAGTAGAGGTCCAGGCTAACAGTATGGAGGACCATAAGATACCAGAGGTTAAATAGCCGTGAGCCCAGACTGCTGGGAGGAAAGGCACCAGGAACTGAGAAATATGACCAACCAGTCAACTTCTGTTTGCCAAGTAACACCACCACCAATTCACCAGACCCCAGAAGAGGCCAGGCTATCTATGCAGTGGTACCAGTTAATGGAAACTATATTCTGTTCCAACAGAATTAAGAAATAACAGCTAATTTGAAAGGTTAAGAGGTCCAGATTTACGTATAGGACAAGCATAATGGAAAAAAGATTCTAGGAAGAAGAGAAATGAAAAACTAGATTTAAAATCTGAGAATAGGACTGGGGGTACAGCTCAGCGGTAGAGCAATTGCCCTGTGTGTCTGAGATCCTGGGTTTGATCCCCAACACTGTAAAAAACAAACAAACAAAGATCATTTATATGAAACGCCCACAACAGGGAACTCTGAGGAGACAGAAAGCACACTAGTGTTCTCTAAGGGTCTAAGAGGTGAGGCAACTGCAAATGAATATAGGGTTACTTTTTTGGGGTAAGAGATATATAAGACTGTGGTAGTGGCAGTACAGCTTTTGAATATGCTAAATGTCACAAAATTGCACACTTTAGAGGGTTAGTTGATAGTATTTGAATTATCGCTCAACAAAGCAATTTTTTTAAAAGAGAAAAGAATCAAACTGTGAACTTCAATGAAACACAACAGTTCTGAGATTTTGAGAAGGAAC